AAATAAGTGTTTTGTGTATTTTATTGCAAGTAGCCATTTCCTTATGTTGGTATTAGCACAAATGCCTTCTTTTGCAGCGGACTGCTAATTTAAAAAACAAAACAAAGCTTATTTAAAATAGTTTCTGAGTTAAACTAGATATCAATCAGAGTACTATGATTTTTCAGTTATAATCCATTTGACGTCTATAAAATGACACTTCATGTACTTTTTGTATGGGATCCTTACATATTACACATGCAAGGATTTTGGTTCTGTTTGATGAATAAGAACGAATTAACTGCTCTTTGTTTCTTCATGGTGCAGACACACTGAAAGGCTTCGGTATAGTTAAAACATCCTTTTGCACATTTGCCTGCCTTTATGAAAACTGTGATTCATTCAAAAAACTTAATGTTTGCTTATGTGCCATGATACCGCTTCTTTGATATTCCTAATTCTCAGTTGTGTTCCCTAATGGATCTTGTATGTAGTGTCTGGGCAGCATAACGTGAATGGGATAAAATGTCAGTTACTCCACAGTGTTGCATTCTTGTTTTGTAAATGAATCATAATTTTTATTATGTCTTAGGTATGTTTATTTAGCTAATCATTCATTATATACTTAATTCTGGAAGATAATTTCACTTAACCCTAGCCGTTTATTTTGGCTGCAGCTGTTAAATAAAGATATGCAAATCATGTTCAGTCTATGTCTATATAGTTTATTTAAGTTTCGACTGTAATGTTTTTGTAATTGCTCAATACTGGGTTCTTTAGCTGATCTACGGAGGGGGCTGTTTTTGTCTTAATTATATTTCTAGGAAGGATGTTCTGAGTATAAGAAATCTGTTGTTAAGGTAGCTGGACAGGCTTGCTTCTGTGGGTTATCTTTTTGTCTTAGATTTTTATTTTGTAAGATTGTTGCCAAAAAATTATTTCTTTCCCTTCTTGTTTCATTTAGCTTTTGGACCAGTTAAAGTAGAGCTGCTGTTGGCTGGCTGTATTTGTGTCTAATTTTTTATACACTCACTGGGACATTTTACTTCTATGTTATAAATGTATTGCTAGTAAAAAAAAGTCAAATGTCTTAGCTCTTTCATGTGATCGCTAAGAAATTTCCTCCTTTCACACTTTTCTGTTTTTACACAGGTCCTCATGCCGATACCGCCAGCGGATGCCAGAATTTGCAGTGTGGTTTTCGAGCCTGCTGCCGCTCTGGCGAATGACCCTTGACTCCTGACCTTTGTCTACTTCATTTAGCTGAGCAGGCTTCCTTTCATGCACTTTACTTATAGCAGATTTCTTGTGTTAACCATCCCTTTTTGATTGTTTTGGCCCCATTTCTTACAGCCTCAGAAATCTTTATTTACCAGTCAGTTGTACAGTGTTGTTTCTCTTGCAAATCATCTTTTTGTTTTAGAAAGGGATTAGATCTTTTCATAAGGGTGAGAACAATTTTAGCAGTTTTCTTTTAAATGGAATGCTTTGAAAAGAATGTCACTAATGCCATGCCATTTAAAGTATTTTTTAGATTAATTTGAGTTTTAAAGTCAATGGGGTTATTGGTTCTCTTTATATATAAACACTGTACCAAGCTTTGCAGATCTTTTCAAACATACATTTTTGAAGTTTTATTTTCAAAGATTGCACATTTTGAAAACCAGTCTTTTTTCCATAATGTTTCCTTTGTTTGAACAGTTCTCAGAGGGCCAATTCAAACATACCCACATATAAGATTCTTTAGGATAATAGAATAAATTGGCTTCTTGGTGTTAGCTCAGTGAGCTAGCAAAGTACCAATGTATTTGTATTTGCTTTCTTCAGATATTCCTGGTTCCTACCACTGTCCCTAAATTGTCAAATTTCGGAGGGATTTTTAAAAATTCCACAATCATTTGAACAAATGTATCAATAAAATCTACTTTGAGGACTTTACCAAATAATTTTTTTGGTGTTTGATTTCATTAGAAATCTCAATTCAGGTTTATGTTAGTGTAAAATAGGTCTAAATATTTTCTTTTGAGCTCCTGTGAAATCATGATCCTGGCAATTTAGACAGATACCTAATTTTGTTGAGCTGAATTGTCTTTTTTGAGATTAATTGTGCAGTAGTCAGAATTTGAATGTGTATGCCTGTCTTCGTTGCTGTGTGAAGAGACAGTGGGAGTGGGGACCTATCGTTCAGAAAGGCACATATTGAATCAGTTTTAGGTAATGCTATATATAATTTTATGTCCTGAAGAGTTGGCAGCACACCATCTGCTTCTGGAAATGCATGCAAGGCTGTGGAAGAGGAATTAATCTTGCAGTCTTGTTACTTGTGGTCCCAGGTATTCTTGTTTGTTTTATTGAGGGATAGGAGTAGGAAAGGGACAAACAACAGGTAAGCAGATTTTAGTTCAGGCTAAGAGAAAACTTTGTTTGAGACAGAGCTTTCTGAAGATGAAGGAAGACTCATTTGATGAGAATCTGAACAGGGAGAATCGACCTATGTCTTACACTAATATTTGAATTAAACACTGCAGGGGAGACCCAAGTCTGGGGTGGGGGCGCCTTTCTTAATGGCTCTCTCTGAAGTGTTGCCTCCTGTCAGGGTTCTCTCGTTGTGTCATGGTTGAACTTGCAGAATGTTTCTTGCATGTAGGATGAGGCAGCTGTGTGAACAGACCGTCTTACCTTTTGAACCTGTACCTCTTAGGTGTAAGTAGTCACGGCTTTTGTGGTACTGTGGCAGAAGGCCTCCTTTAAAAGTTTGGCCTAAGCACAAAGTAAGAAATGATTTCTTGATCCCTTAGAGAATTTGAAAGGAAATTTAAGCTTAGTGAGCACTTAACGGGGTCTGAAGTTTTATTTTGTAAGGTTGATTTTCTTGTAGTTACTGTGTTTTTATTTCCTTAAGTGTTTAATAAAGTTTATTTGGAAAGTTCACATCAGGGGCTATTTTTAAGAAAACATACTACAGGAATTCTTCTGGAGTGAGTCCATCCAACCCCATACTTCATCTTATCTGTATTTACGTGAATTGTGAGTAAAATTACTCGTCCGGACTCCTGGCCCTGAGTCATCAAGTGAGGACTCAAGTTTATCCTCCATGTAGTCACAAAACAGTATAATATTTTTGGGGGAGACATTCTGATAATGATTCAATGATGTTTCAGGAGTTGACTTAAATGTTTTTCTTTTAACTAATTTGAGCGGGGTATCCTCAGGGGTACCAGGTGATTGAGGTGCCTCCCTTTTGCTTTGTCCTGTGCTGCTTGATAGTAGCAAACCATTAAATAGGACCTGGCAGTCCCGAACTACATGGACTTGGGTGTGTCAGCACATCGTCCTGTGGAGACTCACTGTTTTTCCACTCTCTCTCTAGTTGCATGGGGAGATTGACAACGTAATTTACATTTAATTTTTATACATTAACTTTGGGGTATAGTTAGTATTTGATGAAACACTGTAAATACTTGGTTTAAATTTATCTTGGGTTTTGTGATTGATTTAATGAATTTTTGGACCTGTTCATTCTTAGAATAAAATACAAGTTATGTGAACTGCCTTGGGGTGCCTGACATCAGGTGCTCAGCGCTGGACAGTGTTCTAAGTACCTATACTTACATATACTGACTTGTTTAAACAGTGAGAGGAAGTAAGTAATGTGATCATTCTGATCCTATATATGGGGAAAATAAGTAGCAGGGAGGTTAACTCATCCATGGATACCTTGTAATGATGGGGTATTGCCTGGTAATGACTGTTACATGTCAGTCCTTGAAGTCTCCCTTGAAGAGGAGTTCATAGTTGAGGTATCAGAGGCATGCAAACACATAATTGTAATATAATCTGATAGAGGAAGGCAAAGGGAATAAAGTAAAAGGTGAATGTTTTTCCTTAATTTGGTCCCTCTGGTTTTATGTTTTGTTTTTTTTTAAGTGAGATCATACTCCATCTATATCACTGGTTCTCAGCTGGAGTCAGTTTATCCCGTAGAGGACATTATTAGACAATGTCTGGAAACATTTTGGTCGTCACAGTTTGGCAGAGGGAAAGGATGTCACCGACATCTAGTGGGTAGAGGTCAGGGATGCTGCCAAATATCCTCTAATGAACAGGTCAGCCCTCCAAAAAAAAAAAAAAATTACTTGGCCCAAAATGTCAGTAGTGCTTCTGTTAAGAAATCCTGCTTTATGTATTTCTGTTTTGTGTACATCTTTCCATGTCAGCACATATATTTAATGCCTTTTAATGGCTTGTATGGTAGTACCGGTGTTTGTCTTAGTCTGTTTAGGCTGCTCTAACAATACCATACACTGGGTGGCTTAAACAGCAAACATTTATTTCTCCTTTATCTGGAGGCTGGGAAGTCAAGGGATAAGGTGCTGGCAGATGTGGTTTCAGGTGAGAGCTGTCTTTCTGATTTGCAGAGGGCCATCTCTTCATCCACACATAGCCTAAGGAAGGAAGCCAACTCTTTCCTTTCTCTTCTGACAGTGGCATTCATCCCAACACAGGGCCTCCACTCTCACAACCTAATTGCCTCCCGAAGGACCCATCTCCAAATACCATTACATAGGGGATTTGGGTCTCGAGATAAGAATTTTGTGGGAGACACAAACATTTAGTCCATAGCAATGGCTTAATTTTTTAAACGACTTCCCTTTTGGTGAATGTTTAAACATACTCCCCCCCCCATTGTTTCAATAGGAGTATGTGTGTGTATATATGGGCACATTTGTGTGCATGTACATGTTTGCTCAGTATTTCTATAGGATAAGGTCTTATGAGGTATTTGGTGTTAAAAATTTTGTATCGCGAAGTTGTTCCTGCCCCCAGAGAAGTTGTTTATTTTGCTGGTTCTTAAAAGTATGATGGGTATTCTGCTGGACAAAGAAGGAGGGCATTCCAAGCAGAAGGTAAGTACAAAGGCATAGAGGTAGGGAGCTCTTAGTGTGAGGAGGAACTCTGGGTAGCCTTGATTAAATGTGGGGTCAGAGTGGCAAGAGGTAAGGCAGACTAGTAAGTAACACTTATTTTGAAAATAATGATAATTTTATTTCATTATTTACAAATAATTTCTTCTAATATGATCAATATCACAAAAATACTCTCATACCTTAATTACATTTTTTACATGATACAAAAATACAATGAAAAAATTACCTGTTGCGTATAAGGGAGGCAACATAAATCCAAACAGACAAAACATTTTTGGGGTATGGGTGGATATATACAGCTAAAGCAAATTCAACATTAGGAACATCAATATTATGTACTCCGGTGCTATACACTGCTTCAATTAAAGGTTTCAGTTCAGAATAGGGCATGTGAAGGGGAAATCCAGAGAACTGAAGGGAAAAAACAACCAAGATTTGTAGTCATTAGTGAAGCTTGAGGATTTCATTGTATTTTTTTCTCCATGTTTAAACATACGCAATTCTTAATATTCTTGTCTTCCTTCTGCATCTTGAAGTCATTTATTTAGTTCTGCTTTTCTCTTCAGCTATGTATTAGCAATACAGAAAATGGAGAGGGGCCAAATGTCTTTTTTGTTCAGTTGCTAGCATATTGACTTGGTGTATAAGACAGCTGTTAGCACCCAGCCACCCTCCACTATTCCCTTCCCTCTGCCTAATAGTCCCTAGTTTGCATAGTAACCCATGTAATTCTAGGGATCTGGATTAATCCTAATCAATGTATTCTATCCCTGTGGCCACAGTGACTGATATAGGGATGGGCGTGTGATCGAAGTGAATCCCAGGAAACTTGCTAGGAATGATGGCACACAGATAACGCTCTCCTGCTTTGGACAGTATGTGTGCAGATGTGAGTCCTGCCTGGAGCTGTTCCAGCCATTTGGTTCCATGAAAAAAACCTGAGGACAGTGCCATCACACAGAGGAGGGCAAGTGGGAAGACTTAACGGAAGAGTGGTACAGCTCTGATAGCTACTCACCTCTGACTTTTCCTCAAATAAACCAATAAATTCTTTTTATTGCTCAGGGCTGTTTGAATTAAGTTTTTTGTTACTTGAAGACATCCTAGCTGAAATCCTAGTTTTTTTTTTTTAAGATTATTTAGAGAGAACAAGTAGGGGGGGCAGAGGGAGAGAATCTTCAGACTCCCTACTGAGCTGGGAGCCCAGTGTGGGGGGTCGATCCCAGGACCCTGAGATCAAGACCTGTGCTGAAACTAAGAGTCAGACTCAACCAACTGAGCCACCCAGGTGCCCCTGAAAACCTAGTTTTAGTCCGTGAATAGTATTAAATGTCCAACTTGACTTCACCCTGTTTAGCCAACAAGGCTTACTGTCTTAATTTGAGACTGCTTTCTAGGTTTTATTATCCATACAGCACTACTGACAGTGGAGAGGACTTACGAGAATTTTTCTTAGCACTGAAAAGCAATTAGTATAAAATCATCTCCTTAAAACTGATCAGGAGTGGTTGGTTTCACCTTTAGAGTCTAATATGATTTAGTCAGATGTTTTAATTGTATTTAATACTCTTGGCAATGCATTTTATTAAAGGTATTTTTCATTGCATAGTCTTACAGCATTTTCAGTTTATAGAGGTATTTTGCTGTTTAATAATAGCTTAATTACTGAGATTTGAACCTTCAATTACATCTTTTGCTGCTTCACCTATGTACTGTGGAGAGCAAAGTAGTTACTTTGATTCTTTAAAAATCCAATACCATGCAATTTCCAATTTGAAATGAAATCCACAGACTCAGTGGAGAGCCATTTGTACTTACCCGGTAGTCTCCCAGCTGTTTGAGCAGCTCCGCTCTGTGGTCATCTTCTATGTCTTCTCCTTGATTTCTCTCTAACACAGGCAAGAAGTGCCGTAGAGCGGAGGTACAGTACCTGTTCCATCTAGTCAGATGGCGTGGCCTCCAGTCCATGATTTTTTCTTTTAGTATTTTTTCAATCCTGTTTATAAAAAAGAAGCTCTTTTTTGCAAGGGCTTTTGTAAACAAAGATAGTTTATATGCAGTGGGGATTCAGGTGGAGTTGTTCACTAGGCATAGTTTATGTTGAAAGCCTTAATATTTGTAGGGCTTTTAATGCTGCATATTGATTCTTTACCCTGTGCTGTGACTTCTGTTTATGAAGATTATTTATCTGAATTTCCTTAAGACTGTTCTTAGGATATCCATCATCACTAAGCTTTACATTCTGTAGATCCAATACGTATCATATTAACTACAAAGCAGGATATCAAAAATTAAGTTGAAAACACAGAATAAAGGAAAACAGCTAACATGTATTGAGCCTTTATTTACCAGGTACTGTGTAAAATGCTTTCTGTTCATTTTTACTTAATCCTAACAGTGACTATGAGGGGGATATTGTCCCAGTTTTACTTATGTGGGGACAGTTTGAGGTAGGATGAGTGACTTGACAATGGCAGGGAAAACGGGGGTTTGAGTTGAAACCCTGTCAATTCTAAAGCCTCTTGGGCCTCCCTAGCCAAATGCACAGATTTAGAGGACCCAGCCAGCTCCCCACTGCTTAGCTGCAGGATCCCCTTCTCATTTGGCACATTATACATATTTTTGTTCAGGGTTTCAAGATGGTCTGAGCAAGAGTATGGTTGAATTGCCATGCATTTCATCAATATTGGATAAATAAATAATGGTCTAGTTAATAGACCCACATTATTCTGAAACTATCAGAAGAAGCAGGCTTTTGGGGGAATTAGTTGTTCTAAATAGGGATCTCCAGTAAGGCTTTATTTAAAATTTGAAATTGAGAATAAATTGGAGTCTTCTAGTAATAATACTAACTTAGAAAGGGTCACATTTATTCTTGAGTATTTGACATGCTGCTCTTTACACAGCTTGATACAGTAGAAAGGGCACACACAGACTTTGAAATCAGAAAGATCTGACCGGGCTCAGAAACCCCCTCTGACACTTAACAAGTATGTTGACCCCTTTGAACCTTGGTTTCCACATTTGCAAAACTGGGAGAGTAAAGTTTTGTTTTACAGGGTTATAATGATTATAGGGACTCTTACCAGGCTTCTCCATGTGTTAGGTTTATAAACCAGCTGAAGCTCAGTAAGCCACTAATTGGACAAAAGAGGCATATTTAATTAAGCTGAGGATTATGATACATCTGAACAAGACCCATAATAACATGATGCTGAGCTCTCATGAGGCGACGTTTTGGGGGAACTACCTATCACTAATGGAGGTCACTTGTGTTTGTTCCATACCATGCTGATGTGAAGGCCTCCCTTTGAGCTATGGGATTTAGAGATCACATCTGTATTTGGTATCTGTCTATAAACATGAATTAAAGTTTAATTGCTCAAATTATTGATCCAGGCTGAGAATTGTTTAGTTTGGTATTACACTCCTAGTGACAGATTGTGTGTGGATTTATGGGTATCATATGACCTGTCTTGTAGCTCAGCTGCGGCCGCTTTGTCTGTGCGCTGGTAAATTAGTTCTTCTGGCTATAAAAGAGAAAATAGTTCAGAAATTCTAGAAATCACTTACACTTAATTTGGATAGCTATCCATTCTTTTCTAAATCTTTAAAAAAATTATGAAATCTGAGACATTCCTTCAGACACAGAGGATAGTATGGATACCAATGTACCCAGGACCCACGGTAAGTACAGTACCACAGATAAATAACAGCGCTGTGTAGTTCTTAATTTCATCTCCTTTCTCTGTCATCATAGAAGCAGCTATGACCTGGATTTGTTTTTTAGCACTTTAATTCAACATGTATCTACTGGGTGCCAGGCACTTTTATAGGTGATAGGCATATATCCATGAATAAAAATCCCTGCCCTCCTGGTGTTTACACAGGAGGTGGAGATAGACAAGTTAATGAACTGTACTTACGATTTTATTACAGATTTATGTATCCCCAAACAATGTATTGTTTTGGTTTGGGTGTTTTCTAAACTTTTTGTAATTTTTTTTTTTTTAATTCCAGTATAGTTGACACACAATATTACATTAATTTCAGGTGTACAAAGTAGTGATTTGACAAGTCTATGTAATAGTTTTATACTGTGAATACACAGCTTGCCTTTTCTCCCTTAATATTTATTTAGGGGCGCCTGGGTGGCTCAGTCATTAAGCGTCTGCCTTCGACTCAGGTCATGATCCCAGGGTCCTGGGATCGAGCCCCACAAACCGGGCTCCCTGCTCTGCAGGAAGCTTGCTTCTCCCTCTCCCACTCCCCCTGCTTGTGTTCCCTCTCTCACTGTGTCTCTCTCTGTCAAATAAATAAATAAAATCTTTAAAAATGTATATATATTTATTTAGAGATAACAACACCCATATTTTTAGAGTGCTAAGATTTATTAATGTTGATTCATTTGTGTAACTACTATAAAATATTCCATTATGTACTCTTCATAATTTGTCCCTTCTGTAATTCCAGTTCTTAGGCTATTATAAACAATGTTTCAATGAAAAATCTTGTATAACAAGTCACCTTGTACACATGGAAGAATTTCTCTAGGGCACTGTTTTTTAAACCTTTTTTTTTTTAGAAGGGTCTGGGTCACAGTAAAAATATGTATTATACACTCAGTATACACATACACACATACTTATATAGCTAACAAATTAAACAGAAGTTTTAGTAAACAATTTTCATGCTTACTACTTATAATCTGGCCAGGACCGTCTAAATTAATTTTAGGAGCCCCTACTAGATCATGCCCTGTGATTTGATTTCATGTTTTAATAGCAGTCATGAAATTCAGTCATTAATTTAGTGAATTGAGACCAGCATTTAAGAAATTAAATAGAATATATTTTGAGGTACTTTATATCATGAGGTTCATTATATCAAAACTTCACATATATATATACTGGTTCATGATGTGGTGGTAATTTCTTATTGGGAGTTGGGCTCAACTAAGTTTGGAAAAACATTATTTTTGACTGAATATCTAGGAGTAGAATTAAGGGTCAAAAAATATCTGGCTACCCAGTATAATGATTTCAAATTCCTTCGTCTACTTTTTTTTTTTAAGAGAGGGAGAGAGAAGGGGTAGGGAGGGGAGGGCAGAGGGAGAGGGAGAGCGAATCTTAAGCAGGCTCCACACCCAGTGTGGTGTCCTACCTGGGGCTCGATCTCACAACCCTGAGATGCCCTGAGCTGGAATCAAAAGTCAGACACTCACTGACTGAGCTACCCAGGCACCCCCTTAGTCTACATTGTTAATAAAAGAATTATATACCTGAACACTAGAAAGGCCAGGATATGGAAGGCTTCTTGAAAAGAAAGATTTCCATAGCTTGGGCTTGGTGACATCAAAGTTTATCCGTAGTGGGGAGTCATATCGTTGAATATTAAACCAAATCTAAAAAAGAGAAGACTACATTAGCATATATGGCAGCATATATATATATATATATGCATGTATGTAGAGAGAAAGCAGAGACAGCAAGAGGACACACAGGATGCACTTTTCTTTTTGCATATTTTGATTTGTAAAATCAGCATGCCTTCTACAATCAGAGGCATCATAAAATGGTCACTGGCCACTTTTTCATATTTCTTATATCTGAAGTTGAGGTGCACCTTACCGCTGATTGTAGGTTGACAAAATAAGATAGTTCCTGATAAGGAAAAACTTTTTAGAAGATAGACAAGGCTATTCCTTTCTCAGTCTGGCTTTTCCTAACTCGGTTCTTCCCAGCCTCCTAATTGAGTTAGGCGTCTACCTCTTTGCTTCCACAGCACTCTGTAATCTCTGAATAGCACCTGTCTTGTTGAGGCATGCAGCATATTGGTTCTGGAATCAGGCCACTTGTATTTGAATTCTAGCTCCAACATTTACAATGGTGTGACCTTGGGTGATTTTTTTTTTTAAGATTTTTATTTATTTGTCAGAGCACAAGCAGGGAGAAGCAGGCTCCCCGCTGAGCAAGGAGCCCAGTGTGAGACTAGAACCCAAGACCCTGGGATCATGACCTGAGCCGAAGGCAGATGCTTAACTGACAGCCACCCAGGCATCCCTTGGATGATTTATTTAACTTCTTTGTACCTCATTTTCCTCCTGTTTGAAACTGGGATAATAGTACCCACCTCAAGGTTGTTGAGGCAGATTAATTCACCTCTTAGAACAATGCCTGGTACATAGTAGGTGCTCAGTAATTGTTAGCTAATTTATTACTATTATTGGTGTTTATCATTGTTAATAATTGCCTGTCCATCCCCCTGCCTCCTCACTAGGTATGGCATTGTCTTGAGGACATTTGCCATGTGCCTCATTCACTACTGTATCTTTAGCATATAGCATCGCTTCTGGCATACAGTAGGCATATTGAACGCCCGTGTGCATCAGTGGTAAATTTGTGCATTCAACATACTTATCAACTACTGTGGGCTGAGTTTCAGTCACTAGGGATAAAGTAGTGAATGAAACAGAGTTCCTACCCTTATGCAGTAGCTAGTGAGAAGATAGTGTGAACAAATAAGTAAATACGTGGGTTTCAGATGATGTTACATGATGGAGTAGATTGTATCACTGACCTCAGTTCTTCACCCCTTCCTGTATCTACACTCTGTCATGTTACTTTGCAGTTCCTCCCACTAAAAGGGTTGAAATGTATTTCCCTGCTCCTTGATGTTTGGTCAGTAGAACAGGACGGAAGTGTTAGTGTGTAACTTCTGAGTCTAAGCTAAGGAGGCTTTGTGTGTTCCTGCTTGCCTTTTTGTGCTTCTGCCATTGTCACTGCCGAGTCCCAGAATAAACACACATGAAGCAGAGCTGTCCCAGCTGACCCAGAGAGTCATAAGAATAACTATTTGAAGCCATTTAGTTTGGGGATGGGTTTTTACTGTCTTTACTGTGGCAACAGCTAACTATAAGGGCTGTGGAGAAAACATGGGACGACATGAAATTTCAGGGTGGGCAGGCAAATTCTTGCTGGAAAGATGACATTTGATCAGAAATGCAAGAAGTGAGGGAGAAATTCATGAAGATACCCAGTAAGGGGAAAGGTCATCTATGCAGAGGAAACAGTAAATGCAAAACCTGCTTGATGTGTTGAGGAACAGTGAGGAAGATGGTAGCTTTAGAGGAATGAGCAAGTTAGAGCAAGTAAGAGATGACATCAGTGGAGGATGGGGATGGGTGGCGGGATGTCTGTCAGGTCATAAAAGGCCCTGTGGATTATTTTAAAGAGTTAGACTTGATTTTACAGTGAGCTAGGAATCCACTGGAGTATTTTAAGCAGAGGGTGACATAGTCTGTCTTCCATTTTCACACGAATATCCTCTGCTGTTTTGAGACCAGACCCAAGAGGGTAAGGGCAAACAGTGAAGTCTCCAGTTAGGAGGCTTATTTCAAATAATCCAGGTAAGAGCTACAGTAGTGTGGATTAAAATAGTAGCAGTGAAATTGGTGAGCTATGGTCAGATTCTGGATATACTATGAAGCCAATAGGATTTGCTGATGAATAGGATGTAGGAGAAAGAGAGAAAGGAATCAAAGGTGACTACAAGGATTTTGGCTAAGTAACTAGACTCATGGAATTGCCCTTTATTGAGATCGGAAAGATGGAGTTCAAGTTTGGGCATGTTAAGTTTGAGATGTATGTCTGGCATCTATATGAAGATGATGAGTAGGTAGTTGGATATTTGAGTCTGAAGTTCTGGGAACTAGGTGAGCTAGAGATATACATTTGGGGATTATCAGCATATGTGTGTTCTTAGGAAGGAAGTATAGATAGAAACGATGTTTGATGAACTTTGAGGATCTGATTTTCAAATTTGGAGAAATAATGAAAAAGCAGTAAAGGATACAGAGAAGTGGCAGCCAATGAGGTTAGGGAGGCTTTGATACTTGGAATTCAAATCAGATTGTTTTAAGAAGGCAAGGTCTTCAAGAACTACAATTTGGCCATAGGGTAGGGAATGTGCAGAAAAGTAGTGGGAAATACTGATGGAAAAAGTTGAGGTCAGATTATATAGGACTTTGAAATCCAAGGCAAGAAGTTTGTTCTTAAATCTGTATGTAGTGAGGTACCTCCGATAACTTTTTGAGTGATAGAATGATGAAGCTGAAGGTTCAGAAACTTAGTCAGTGATCAGTGTACCAAATAATTGAGTTGGAGAGATTGTTTAGTTGGTTATTTATAGTAATGCAGGGTGAAACAATAATGGCATGGCCTGGGAAACAACAGGTAGAATCTGTATGATTTGGTATCTGTTAATAGGATTGAAGTAGGAGGAAGTAAGGGAGAGAGGAAATCAAGGACAATTCTGAGAGTGAATCTGGGTAACTGACATCTATAGAAACAGGAAGCCAGGAGGAGGAGCCGGTTTTGGAGGCAAGGGGGAAATGATTTGAGTTTTGGATGTGCCAAGTTTGAGGTTTATTATATATATAGAGAGAGAGAGAGAGAGAGAGAGAGAGAGCACACTGGTGCATGAGCAATGGGAGGGGCAGAGGGAGAGGGAGGGAGAGAATCCTTGAGCAGACTCCCTGCTGAGCACAGAGCCAGAGGCAGAGCTCTATCCGAGGACCCTGAGATCATGACCTGAGCTGGAACTAAGAATTGGCTGCCCAACCAACTGAGCCATCCAGGTGCCCCCAAGTTTGAGATTTTGATAAAGCACTTGGGTGTCTCGCAGACAGTTGAAAATTCAGGATCCAAAGAAAGATTCTGGAGCTGGTGATAGTATTATAACTTCTCGGCCAGGATAGCCTAGATAGAGTTACAGTTGATAATAATAGGTGTGGTCCTGCAAGAAATCTAAATATAGAATTTTCAGGAACATAGACTTTTCTTTTTTCATTTAGTTTACTTTATTCTTTTTTTAGTGGTCTTCAAACCTTTTTTTTTTTTAATTAACATATAATGTATTATTTGTTTCAGGGGTACAATTCTGTGATTCATCAGTCTTACACAATTCACAGTGCTAACCACAACACATACCCTCCCCAATGTACATCCCCCAGCCACTCCATTCCTCCCACCCCCCTCCACTCCAGCAACTCTTGATTTTTAAGGGGTGGGAAGAAGAGCCAGTGAAAGAAACCTAAGAAACTCTTAAGAGGAGGAAATGAAAAATGAAAACCAAACAGTTCTTTATCTGCAAACCAAGGTGGAGAAAGTGTTTTTTGGTTGTTTTTTGTTTTGTTTTTTCACGAAGAGGGTATTAGCCATGTCATGTGACATAGAAAAGGAGAAGAGAATGAAGATGAGAGTAAACCATTGGATTTATTTATCCATTAGCAAGACAATGGTACTTCTTAGAGTTGAATTTCTATAGGATGGTCAGGGAAGAGGAGCTAGATTATTAAAAGGGTTAAAGTCTGAGTTTACTGAGAACATAGAAGCAGGGGATAAAATTAGTAATTGAAGAATTTTGGAAGCAAAGGAAAGAGGGGCAATGGTAGTTTAGGGTGTATCTGGGTTGGCAGAAGCATACAAGCACACCTCTGAGATATTGTGGTTTGGTTCCAAACCACTGCAATAAAGTGAATATCGCAGTAAAGGAAGTCAAGTGAATATTTTGGTTTCCCCAGTGCATGTAAAAGTTATGTTTACAATATACTGTAGGCTATTAAGTGCACAATAGCATTATGCCTAAAGAAACAATATACATACCTTAATTAAAAAAATATTGCTAAAAAAATGCTAACCATCATCTGGGCTTTCAGCAAATTATCATCACTGATAACAACAGACCATCATAACAAATATAGTAGTAATGAAAAGTTTGAAATACTGCAAGAATTACCAAAACATGACACAGAGACACGAAGTGAGCAAATGCTGTTGGAAAATGGCATCGACTGACTTGCCTGGCATAGAGTTGCCACAAACGTTCAATTTGTAAAAAACACAGTATCTGTGAATATAACGAAGCATAACAAAATGAGATATGCCTATATTTTGGGACCGTTGGACTTCTGAGCATATCAGTTGGCAGAGAAATTGAAAAAATATAGGGGCAAGTTGGAATAATGAGTAGAGGTATGTCTTGCAGTAAGAGTGGAAACAGAAACACGGGTAGAAAGGGGAGACACTTCTTTCCTGGCAAAGGAGTACAGGAGGAGAAAGGCTGACAATCCAGAGAGGCTGTGTGGTGGAGCAGAGGGCAGTGGAGGTTTTAGAGCATAGTATCAGGCCAACTAGGCGAGGGTGAGGTCCTCTACCGAGAGAGGTCAAGGTTTAGAGCAGCTTTGGAACAGCTGCCATGAAGGGTGCCCAACATCATGTGCAACTGTTGTGCTTCTTGTTAGTAAGGGGCTGGGGGTCTTCCTCACAAAACTGGGCTTTATGTAATTAGCCATATTGTTTTGAGAACAGACAGTAATTGTTTTGAGAACTAATAATAATTTTG